AGGGGGAGGGAACGGGTCCTGTCAGCGTGCACGGGTGCGAGTGTGCATGGCCGCGATGGACACACATACGTACGTCTCCGCGCGTGCCAGCGCGGACGTGTGTGGACGTGTCCGTGGGGCTAACGAACGAACACACTGAGTGCATCGTGAGGTCTCTGCAGATGCGTGGACGTTGGAAGTGTGCACCGGGGCCCGGGGGGCCGGCAGAGGCCGGGCCCTGACCTTCCCTTCTCCCGTCCTACGCCCAGCATGCCGAGGAATGTTGTGTGGCTTTGGCGCCGTGTGTGAGCCGAGCGCGGAAGGTTCCGGCAGAGCCTCCTGTGTGTGCAAGAAGAGTGCCTGTCCGGCTGTGGTGGCGCCTGTGTGTGGCTCCGACGCCTCCACGTACAGCAACGAGTGTGAGCTCCAGCGGGCGCAGTGCAGCCAGCAGCGACGCATCCGCCTCCTCAGCCGCGGGCCCTGCGGTGAGTGCGGGCTCTGGGCGCTGCCCCAAGGGCAGAGGGGACGGCTTTGTGACCCCACCCCCCACCCCCACAGGCTCCCGGGACCCCTGCTCCAATGTGACGTGCAGCTTCGGCAGCACCTGCGTGCGCTCAGCAGACGGGCAGACGGCCACGTGCCTGTGCCCGGCCACCTGCCGGGGGCCCCCTGACGGCCCCGTGTGTGGCAGCGACGGGGCCGACTACCCCAGCGAGTGCCAGCTCCTGCGCCACGCGTGCGCGCGCCAAGAGAACATCTTCAAGAAGTTTGACGGCCCTTGTGGTGAGCCCTGCCCCTGTGCGCGTAGCATGACTTCTGCGTGTGCGTGCACGGCACAGCACCCTGACCTCTGCCCTCCTGCCCTCTAGACCCTTGCCGGAGCGCCCGCAGTGACCTGAGTCGTATCTGCCGTGTGAACCCACGCACGCGGCGCCCTGAGATGCTGCTGCGGCCAGAGAGCTGCCCTGCTCGGCAGGCACCTGTGTGCGGGGACGACGGGGTCACCTACGACAACGACTGTACGATGGGCCGCACGGGAGCTGCCCGTGGCCTCCTCCTCCAGAAAGTGCGCTCCGGCCAGTGCCAGCCTCAAGGTGGGTGGCCGCGGGCGGGCCCAGCCTTGCCGCTCTGTGTGTGTGACCTACATCCCTGCCGGTCCCCACACTCTCCTGCGCTCCTCCCTGGTGCCCACTCACCACCTCCTGTACGAGTCCCAAGGCGGCACTCTGGCCGGTCTGATCCCCTTGCTCTGCCCTCCCAGACCAGTGCCCAGATGTGTGCAGGTTCAACGCCGTGTGCCTGATCCGCCGGGGTCGCCCCCGCTGCTCCTGTGACCGCGTCATCTGCGACGGGGCCTACAGACCTGTGTGCGCCCACGACGGGCACACCTACGACAGTGACTGCTGGCGCCAGCAGGCTGAGTGTCAACAGCAGCGCGCCATCCCTGCCAAGCACCAGGGCCCGTGTGGTGAGCACCAGTGGGTGGGGCCCACGCTGCAAGCGGGCTGGTCCTGCATGGGTCCCTGCCGGCTGTCATCACACACCATCTGCATCCTTCGTCACACTCCTGCTGGGGTCCTGGACGAGAGCCGGTGACAGGGGAGGCCTGGCCGGGCTACTGTCTGTCGATAGGCTCTGGGGCGGTGGCTTCTGTTCGGAGGGTGCCGGGAGTACCCAGCGGGGAGTGGGCGGAGCCGGGTGCCCGGCTCCCTGGTGCCTGCGTGGGGCCGTTCCGCCCTCCAGTCCCCTGGGCCCCGTGCGGGCAAAGTCTCAGTCAGGCTCAGGCTGCGTGGGGGCGGGCCGTGGAGGGTGGAGACAGCATATGCTGCTGTGGCTCTGCCAACCCCCACCCCGTGTCTGTCAGTCGGTCTGTCTGTCTTTCCTCTCTCTCTCTCTCTCTCTCTGCGTCTGTCTTCTCTCCTCTGTCCTTCCTTCTCTCTTGGCTCCGCCTCTTGTGTCTTCCAGCCTGACCTGGCAGGATGAGGTACCGCGCCTGCCGCCAGGAGCCCACAGCCCGAGGTCTGCCCCCGGCACAGCAGGGAGGGGGGGTGGCTCGCTGCTGCCTGGCCTTGTGGTCCTCAGAGCAAGTGGACAGACACCTCCTCCCCCTTGTGGCCCTGGGTGTGACTGTGGGCTGCAGACTCCTCCCCGCCGTGGGGAGAGAGCCCCCCTACCTGTGTGGGTGTCCCAGGGCTGTTGGTGGCCAGGGGTCAGTGACCCAGATGGCTGCATAAGCCTGGCCTTCCCTCAACCCACGGCAGGGGGGGCAGTCAGGAAGTTCCTGCGTCTTGGGGGCGGCCCCTCCCTCCACTCACGCAGGGGGCCGAGGCTGTTTGGGTCTGTGTCCCTGTCCGCGTCTGTCGTGTGTCTGTCCCTTTCTCTGCTGTGTCCTGAGCATTTCGGCCCTTCTCCCAGTCCACCTCCCCTCTGCTGTCCCCACCCTGGGAGAGGGTCTGCTGCGTGGAGCTGGGGGCTTTGTGCATAAGCCCGGGGGAACAGGTGGAGCTCACTGGGTGCCTGTGTCCTCCCCAGACCAGCCCCTGTCCCCGTGCCTTGGGGTGCAGTGCCCGTTTGGGGCAGCGTGTGCTGTGAAGAACGGGGAAGCTGAGTGTGTGTGCCAGCAGGCGTGTTCGGGCATCTACGATCCTGTGTGTGGCAGTGATGGCGTCACGTACGGCAGCACGTGTGAGCTGGAAGCCACGGCCTGCACCCTTGGACGGGAGATCCGGGTGGCTCGCAGAGGACCCTGTGGTCAGTGGCGGGCAAGTGGGTCTTGCTAGTGGGCTGTGGGTCCTGGTCGCCGTGGTGACGGAGTCCCTTCCCTAGACCGCTGTGGGCAGTGCCGCTTCGGAGCTCTGTGTGAGGCTGAGACCGGGCGCTGCGTGTGCCCCTCCGAGTGCGTGGCCCTGGCCCAGCCTGTGTGCGGCTCTGATGGGCACACGTATGCCAGCGAGTGTGAGCTACACGTCCACGCCTGCACACATCAGATCAGCCTGCGTGTGGTCTCGGCTGGACGCTGCCGTGAGTGGGGCCGTGGGGGCCGGCAGGCTGTGGTCCTGGGTCTCCCCCTTGGCTGGGGTCCACTGACCTCCGCCTGGCTCCGCCCTCCACAGAGACCTGCGGAGACACGGTGTGTGCCTTTGGCGCGGTGTGCTTGGCTGGACGGTGTGTGTGTCCCCGGTGTGAGCGCCCCCCACCCGGCCCCGTGTGTGGCAGTGACGGTGTCACCTACCACAGCGCCTGTGAGCTCCGAGAGGCTGCCTGCCAGCAGCAGACGCGGATCGAGGAGGCCCGGGCAGGGCCCTGTGAGCAGGGTAGGCTCGGGGATGACCGGCAGGGGCTGCCGTGCACCCGCCTCAAACAGGACCCCACGGGTGACCCGGCCCCCTCCCCGCAGCCGAGTGCGGCTCTGGAGGCTCTGGCTCCGGAGAGGACGGCGAGTGTGAGCAGGAGCTGTGCCGGCAGCATGGCGGCGTCTGGGACGAGGACTCGGAAGACGGGCCCTGCGTCTGTGACTTCAGCTGCCAGAGCGTCCCGAGGAGCCCCGTGAGCAACCCCCGCCCCCCAGCCTCCCCCGGCTCCGGGCGGGCCGCGGGGAAGTGGCTGTGGCCACCCACGCTGACCCCGCCCTTTCAGGTGTGTGGCTCCAACGGGGTCACCTACGGCACCGAGTGTGAGCTGAAGAAGGCCCGGTGTGAGCTGAAGCGGGAACTGTACGTTGCGGCCCAGGGAACCTGCCGTGGTGAGTGGGCACACGGGCTCCGTCTGGGTGTGTGTGGCCTGTTCCCTGTGTGTGAATGTGCTTTGGTGTGTGTGCACACACATGTGAGGCATGTGGGTAGGCACGTCCCCGTGAGCGCTGCGCGTGTGCCGTGTGGGGCGTGCGCGCACATAAGTGTTTTAAATGTGCGGTGTTGGCGAGTATTCGTGTTTGTGTAGTTGCACAGGTGGCCGTAGGGTGCCTATCAGTCAGCAGGTGCACTGAGCACCCACTGTGCGCCAGACTGGGCTTTGGTGCAGGGAGGCCGCGTGTTAGGGAGACCCACGCTCTGGACACTTTGTTTTGGGGGAAGACTGATGGTGATCCAGTAGATACGTCACGTTTATGTACTTCTACGTGTGCACGAGTGCTCGTGGGTGTATGCGCGTGGACTCCTGCACATGTGTGCACATGCATGTCTGCGGGGTGTTTGAATGCGCGTGGTTTGGGAGGAACGTTGGCAAATGTGCACACGTGCGTGTGTTTGTATGTGTGTATGCCAGTCTGTGAAAATGTGCTACCCTAAGCGTGTTTGGTTCCGGTTGTGTGTGTACATACGTGACCTTGGGTGTTCTGCATGCTCTTGGTCCCAGGCGTCCAGACATGTTTTATAAGTGGTGTGGTCTGAGCCCCAGGTACCCAGGTCCTGCTGGGAGTTGGCATCAGGGGAGGTTGAGGCGGAGTGGCCAGGCCCAAAGTGGGCATCAGGCAATGCGTGACATCTGAACCCTCTGCCCCCTTCCTGCAGGCCCCACCCTGGCCCCGCTGCCACCTGCAGTTCCCCCGCACTGCACCCAGACCCCCTACGGCTGCTGCCAGGACAACATCACTGCTGCCCGCGGTGTGGGCCTGGCTGGCTGCCCCAGTGAGTATTTGACCCCAACACTGACCCCCAGCCGGGTGGAGCCATGTAGCTACAGTGACCTTATCCTGCCCTGGCCTTGCAGGCTCCTGCCACTGCAACCCACATGGCTCCTACAGTGGCACCTGTGACCCAGCCACAGGCCAGTGCTCCTGCCGCCCAGGGGTCGGGGGCCTCAAGTGTGATCGCTGTGAGCCTGGCTTCTGGAACTTCCGTGGCATTGTCACCGATGGCCGGAGCGGCTGCACTCGTGAGTGACAGGGGCGACGGTCAGTTCCCAGGTGGGCACTCCCACCTGTCCACCTTGTCACTGTGTTCCTCGTCTCACCTGCTCAGACCCTGGCCTGATCCGCACCAGGCAGGAGCTGGGCTGGGCTCTGGAGCCAGTGGGGAAACCAGGCGTGGACCTCAGGTTCTTCCCCCTGCCCCCCAGCCTGCAGCTGTGACCCCCGGGGTGCTGTGCGGGACGACTGTGAGCAGATGGCAGGGCTGTGCTCATGTAAGCCTGGGGTGGCGGGACCCAAGTGCGGGCAGTGTCCGGACGGCCACACCCTGGGCCCTGCTGGCTGTGAGACAGGTGAGGGCCATGCCTGGCACTGACCTTGGCTCCCTTTGCTGGGGGTGGGGCCGTCATAGGGGCCAGGCCTCCTCAGCCAGCAGGGCCCCCCGTGTCTGCCCCAGACTCCTTGGCGCCCGAGACCTGTGCTGAGATGCGCTGCGAGTTTGGGGCATCCTGCGTGGAGGAAGCTGGCTCCGCACACTGTGTGTGCCCGACACCCACCTGTCCAGAGGCCAGTGCCACCAAGGTGAGGGGTGGGGCATGTGGAAGGTGGTAGGAGAGGTGAGGGGCCTTCCCCCAGCATCCTTGCCCTGTGCCCCAGGTCTGTGGGTCGGACGGAGTCACCTACGGCAATGAGTGCCAACTGAGGACCATCGCCTGCCGCCAGGGCTTGGACATCTCTATCCAGAGCCTTGGCCCATGCCAGGGTGAGGCCCAACCCACCGCCCCAGAACTGACCGCGAAGGCCTGACACTGGGCTGACCACCTGACCCAGCCCTCCACTCAGACTCTCTTTTTCTTGCAGAGGCTATTGCTTCTGGTGCCCGCCCAACATCTCCTGCACCCGTGGCCACCTTGGGGCTCAACGTGAGCAGGGCGCTGCCGCCCCCACCCAGCGCCCTCCCCCTGACTCCCGGCAGTACCCCTCACAGCCGGCCCACTCCTCAACCCTCACCGGGACCTTGGACCACTGCCCGCATCCCCAGGACAACCACGAGGCCCGTGCTGACCATGCCCCCCACGGCCCCTGCCACAGCCCCCAATCTCGCCACATCTGCCTTTGGCGAATCTGGCAGTGCTGATGGGAGCGGCGATGAGGAACTGAGTGGTGACCTGGAAGCCAGTGGGACGGGCTCAGGGGGTGAGCATGGGCCCAGGGATGTGGGGGACAGGGCCCAGGAGGGCCACCCCTGGGGCTAGGCTTAGACTGTCCTTTCCCAGGACTCGAGCCCCCTGAAGGTGGCAGTGCTGTGACCCCTGGGCCACCCCTGGAGAGGGCTTCTTGCTACAACTCGCCTTTGGGCTGCTGCTCGGATGGCAAGACCCCCTCGCTGGACACAGAAGGTTCCAACTGTCCTGGTGAGTGGGTAGCCGGGGGCTGGGGTGGAACGTGAATGGTGGCCTGGACACAGCCAGGAATGCTGTCTCCCCCCACCGCAGACAGGAGGCCTGTCCAGCAGGTGGGCCCTCAGGGTTTACAGTCTTCTGGTCTTGGCACACACACGTGCGTGGTCTCGGGGCTTCGGTGTAGGCATGCACATGTGTGGCCTCGGCCCTCACGCACGTGTGGGTGCCTAGGACCCCGTGGCTAACTTCTTTCCTATTGCAAGCCGGCCTCGGGCACTGCTCCAAGAAGTCTGCCTGGTAACTGATGCCAGCCCTGCCCCGGGTCCCCACTAACCTCATGATCATCTGACTAACCACCACCTGCCCTGCACCCCGTGTGGCTTGCTGCTGGGGCCTGTGCCCATGGCCAGCTCAGAGGCCAGGCAGGGCCTCACTGCCCCCTCCTCCACAGCCACCAAGGCGTTCCAGGGTGTGCTGGAGCTTGAGGGAGTCGAGGGGCAAGAGCTGTTCTATACACCGGAGATGGCTGACCCCAAGTCAGAGCTTTTTGGGGAGACCGCTAGGAGTATCGAGAGCACAGTACGTATGGGGCCCACAGAGCAGGGCTGCACTTCCCTCCCGGGACAGACCCAGAGAAGGGCTGCAGCGGGAGGGCCTGACAACCCGGCCTGGGCAGCTCCCCGGAGCCTTCACCCGCTCCGCACCCACAGCTGGATGACCTCTTCCGGAACTCAGACGTTAAGAAGGACTTCCGAAGCGTCCGCCTGCGGGACCTGGGGCCTGGCAGCTCAGTCCGAGCCATTGTGGACGTGCACTTTGATCCTGGTGAGTTCCCTACCCTGGGCCCTCCCAGGAGACAATAGGGGCGCTGTGTGGGGCTCCACCGTGCTCAGTGTCCCCTCCTTCTCAGCCACGACCTTTAGGGCGCCCGACGTGGGCCAGGCCCTGCTCCGGCAGATACAGGCCTCTAGGCGCCGGTCCCTGGGGGTCAGGCGGCCACTGCAGGAGCACGTGCGCTTCATGGACTTTGGTGAGTGCCCAGTCTGGCCAAGTGCTGTGGCTTGCCTGTCCTGTCATCCCCTGCGGCCCCGAGGACCCTTGTCCCTGCTGGCCCTCCCTGTGCTCTGCCTTCTGGGTATCCTGACAGTCTCCGTAACCCTCAGACTGGTTTCCTGCGTTCTTCACGGGAGCCACCACGGGAGCCACACCTGCCGCCGCCACGGCCAGGGCCACCACTGTGGCCCACCTGCCTTCTGCTGTGACCCAGCGGGCCCTCTACCCCAGTCACACAAGCCGGCCTGTTGGCAGGACCACAGCCCTGCCCACGACACGCCAGCTCCCCACCACTGCCCCCCGTCATGTGCCTGGACGCTGGCCCTTGCCCCCAGGCACCCGGCAGCCACCAAGGCCCTGTGACTCCCAGCCCTGCCTCCACGGAGGGACCTGCCGGGACCAAGACTCAGGTGGAGGCTTCACCTGTAGCTGCCCAGTGGGCAGGAGGGGAGACACCTGCGAGAAGGGTAAGGGTTATTCACACTGGAGAGAGGCAAGGGGCAAGGGTCGGGGCTGCACCAAGCCACCGTCAGGAGTTGGGGGCTAGGCACCCCTGAGCCGGACACAGGGCTGGGGATCTCCAGTTGGAGGAACACGCGGGGTGGGGCCAGGGTCTCCTGCGCCCTGCAGCCGGTCCCTCCCCGTCCTCCTGCAGCACTGCAGCCCTCACTGCCAGCCTTCGGAGGCCACTCCTTCCTGGCCTTCCCCACCCTCCGTGCCTACCACACACTGCGCCTGGCGCTCGAGTTCCGGACGTGGGAGCCACAGGGGCTGCTGCTCTACAATGGCAACGCCCGGGGCAAGGACTTCCTGTCGCTGACATTGCTGGGGGGCCGCGTGCAGCTCAGGTGAGCACGCAGGGCTGCCTAGGCCGGGGTGGGATCAGGGCCCGGGCATACTGGGGCGGGGGTGGTCAGGAATGGAGGTGAGGCGGCTCAGGGTTAGGGTGGGAGGCTGAGGTTGAGCAGTGGACCTGACTCCTTTTCGCTGTGCTGACCGCCTGCTCCCATCCCCCAGGTTTGACACAGGTTCGGGGCCCGCGGTGCTGACCAGCTCAGTGCCTGTAGAGCCTGGCCGCTGGCATCGCTTGGAGCTGTCTCGGCACTGGCGCCGGGGTACCCTCTCAGTGGATGGTGAGACCCCTGTTGTGGGCCACAGCCCCAGTGGTACAGATGGTCTCAACCTGGACACAGACCTCTTTGTGGGCGGCGTCCCAGCGGACCAGGCTTCCGTGTGAGCATCAAGGAGGGTGGGGTGCCCCTGATCCTGGAGCCCTGACCTTGGTCCTGACCCTTGACTCTTGTGGGTGGAAGGATGAGCGTGGATGATGGCAATGACCCTGATTTGATCCTGATCCTGATTCTGTCACCCCTGGGGTGGCATCCCTGAGGACCAGGAATGGTCCTGGTGGCTGCTGTGTTACCACCAAGGAGGGGCTAGGCTGGCCCTGACCTTCTACCTTGAGCCTTGACCCTCAACCCACTTCTTGGTTCTGTCCTCTTTGTGGGACTAGCCATCTTGTGAACATCAGAGGGGCTGGGGCTGGGGATCCTGGCTGACTGGGGGGCGGGGGGCAGTGTCACAGGGGGCTGTGAGGGAGGATGCCTTTGGTCTCTGGTCTCTGACGCCTGACCCTCATCTTGGCGGCAGGGTGCTCGAAAGGACCTCCGTCAGTGTTGGCCTCAAGGGCTGCATCCGCCTGCTAGACATCAACAATCAGCGCTTGGAGCTCAGCAGCTGGCAGGGGACAGTAACCCGAAGCTCTGGTGTGGGTGAGTGCAGGGACCACCCCTGCCTCCGTAGGGCCCCGTGCCAGGCACTGCAGGCTGGTCTGTTCCCCTGTCAGTGCCCACCCGGCCGCTGTGGTGAGGGTGGAGCCCGGGCCGGGTGCTGGGGCAGGGGGCACAGCTGTGTGTCTGTGGGCAAGGGTTCAAGTCTCCTGGGACCCCTTCCTGTCTCCTTCCAGGTGCAACCTGTAGTGATGGCGAGAACCCCTGTGAGCCGAACCCTTGCCACGGGGCAGCCCCTTGCCGCGTGCTGCCTGAGGGCGAGGCCAAGTGCGAATGCCCCCAGGGACGAGGGGGCGCCCTCTGTCAGACAGGTGGGAGCACTGGGCTGTCAGGGCTGGGAGGAGGGTGGGGAGGAGGGGTTTTGCATTGAGCGTTAGGGTGTGGGTTCGGTTTGGGGTTAGGATCGGAGGTCAGGCTAGTGCTAGGGCTTGAGTTAGGCCTGGGGCGCATAGATCAGTGGGGTTCCAGGGAACCCCGGGGGTCAGGGCCCAGCCCCCTGTGTGACTGCTCTCTTGTCTTGCACAGTCTCCAAGCAGGATTATCCCCGGCCCTTCCTGGCTGACTTCAGCGGCTTCTCCTACCTGGAGCTGGAAGGCCTGCATACGTTTGCGCGAGATCTAGGGTCAGTAGGGACAGAAGGGGTGGACGAGGGGGAAGCGTCCCGCCAACCCCGTCCAGCCATTGAGACGCCCCCACCTGACCCCGCGTGACCCCAGGGAGAAGATGGCGCTGGAGGTGGTGTTCCTGGCCCGTGGCCCCAGTGGCTTGCTCCTCTACAATGGGCAGAAGACAGATGGCAAGGGGGACTTTGTGTCACTGGCGTTGCATGATCGATTCCTGGAGTTCCGCTATGACCTGGGCAAGGGGGCAGCGGTCATCAGGTGCATCCTCTTGGGTGGGCGTGGGGGTGAGACTGGGGACACTCGGCAGTGTCACTCAGGCTCCTGAGTGGGCAGGCTGGCAGGGCCCAGAGCCCGCTCACAGTACCCCCTCCTCACCAGGAGCAAGGAGCCAGTGGCCCTGGACACCTGGACCAGGGTCTCACTGGAGCGCAGTGGCCGCAAGGGCGCCATGCGTGTCAGTGACGGGCCCCGAGTGCTGGGGGAGTCCCCGGTGAGTGTCCCCGGGGCCATGGACCTCCCACCACCAACACCCCTGCCTCCTTCTTCCTCCTCCTCCTGGGAGGCATGGCAGCCCCCACCCCACAGCTGGCTCTCACTGAACTGTTTTCTCCCCCGTCTGTCCTGTGCCTCTGTCTGTCTGTCTGTCTGTCTGTCTTCTTTCTGCCCTCACTGCTCTCTGGCCCTTGCTCTGCAACCCCCACCCTGCTCTTCGGACACCAGAAGTCCCGCAAGGTACTGGTCTCTGCTCTCATCCTGCTCATTCACCTTCTAGAGTAGCCCCTACCCCCACTAAGTCCCCACATCGGCCGTGTTTGTGTGATTAACTGCCTCCTTGGCGGGCTGGCGGGCGAGGGGGGGTGGATCACTGCGGGCCAGCGGGGCTGCTGATCTGGGGCTTAGCATCCCTGTCCCTGCCCAGTGAGCTCCCTCACCCAGCACCTCCCCTCAGGTGCCACACACAGTCCTCAACCTGAAGGAGCCGCTCTATGTCGGAGGGGCTCCTGATTTCAGCAAGCTGGCCCGGGCAGCTGCAGTGTCCTCCGGCTTTGACGGCGTCATCCAGCTGGTGCGTGGGGCAGGGGCAGGGGTGGTGGCGTCGTGAGGAAGGGCCCACCCGTCCCAGAGTTGCCTCTGTCCCGGGGCAGGGGCTGCCATGGTAGGGAGGACACCCGGCAGGACGGAGGTTCTCCACCTCTTATCTCCCTAGGTCTCCCTGAAAGGCCACCAGCTGCTGACCCAGGAGCACGTGCTGCGGGCAGTGGACGTCTCGTCTTTCACACACCACCCTTGTACCCAGGCCTCGGGCCACCCCTGCCTCAATGGGGCCTCCTGCCTCCCTCGGGAGGCCTCCTATGAGTGCCTGTGTCCCGGGGGCTTCTCAGGGCTTCACTGCGAGAAGGGTGAGCGCTGCTTGGCGCTTAGCTGAGGCTGGGTGGGGTGGAGCCCCGCCCGAGGTGACCCTCACCCCGACTATCTCTCAGGGCTGATTGAGAAGTCGGCAGGGGATCTGGATGCCCTAGCCTTCGACGGACAAACCTACGTTGAATATCTCAATGCCGTGACCGAGAGGTAACGTGCCGCCCGGGAGCTGGGCACCTCCTCTGCCCTCTGTTGTGTGTCAGGTCCTATCTGTGCGTGCTGTGCTGGGTAAGATGCCCAGACCCTCCACAGCCACCCTCAGCTTTGTGGCCAACAGGGGAAGGCCCAGCGGCCCCCCCCCACCACCTCCCCACTATCGACTCGGCCACCCACCACCTTCCTCCACCCTCCTTTCTCACCACCTCTGTCTCTTTGTTTCCAAGCGAGCTGACCAATGAGATCCCAGCGTAAGTAGCACCTTGGCCCCCATCCCCGCCTTCACTCTCACCCATTCTCAGTTCCTCATCCATTGGCAGCATGCCCCTTGCCCCACCCCCACTGAGGGCAAGGGCGAAACTTTCCACCCTGGTGGAGGAGTGGGGTTGGGCTGCCGTTCGTGCCATGGAAGGGTTAGTTCCCTAGCTTGGCAGTGGGAAGATCCCCATTCCCAGGACCTGTGCTGAAGCCCAGTCACCACGTCCACCCCAGCAGCCACTGCCCTTGACAGAGGGCCCCAGCAGAGTGTGCACGTGTGTGTGCGCATCAGAGTACCTGTGTGTCTGAGTATGTGGATGCACACGGGTCCGTGTGCGGCGTGTGTATGTCACGTGTGTTTGGACAAAGGCCTCTCCCAGGCGGGTGAGCCCTCGGTCTTCATTCCACACCACCCCATGCCTCACCTGTCCATCTTTGGCCTGGGTCATGCCCGCCAGCCCCACGTGTACCCACATGTCACTGCCCCGGCTCTGTGGTGGGAGAGCTGATTCCCTGGGGTCCTGTGTACCTTCTGTGCGTGCTGGCTCTCTCACTCTCCACTGCTGAGAAGGGGACATGGGGCGGGGCTTCCAGGTCGCCCCACACAACCCCCCCCAATCTGGCCTCCCCAGCAAGACAGCTCAGCCTGTCTGTCCCTTGCTCACCTGCTTCCCCTCTCTTTCGGCTTCTAAGTCCTGAAGCTCCGGATTCCGGGGCCCTCCCCAGGTGAGCAGTGACATCCCAACCCCCGCTGTCTGTCCACCTTGTTCCTCTGTTTGTGTGTCTGCCTGTCCGGCCCCCTCCCCTACCGTCCGTCTCTCGGCCTGTCGGTTCCGTGTGGTTGTCCGCCTGCCTGCCCGTCCGGTCTCCCCGGTCTCATCACAGCTGCTCTCATGGCCCTTGCCCTCCCGCCTCCCCCATCCCATCCCAGGATGCCCTCCTGGAGGCGCTGACCAGCCTTCTGCCCCGCAGTGAGAAGGCAGTGCGCAGCAACCACTTTGAGCTGAGCCTGCGCACAGAGGCCACACAGGGGCTGGTGCTGTGGAGCGGGAAGGCCACAGAGCGGGCTGACTACGTCGCTCTGGCCATCGTGGATGGGCGCCTGCAGCTGACCTACGACTTGGGCTCCCAGCCCGTGGTGCTGCGTTCCACCGTGCCGGTCAACACCAACCGCTGGTTGCGGGTGAGGGCACACAGGTCAGTGAGAAGCCCGGGGCGCGCCAGGAATAGTGGCGGGCACTGCCTGGACTTGCCCAGCCAGGGCGCGCCCAGTCGCTTGTAGCCAGGGCACAGGCTTGAGGTGGGGGCAGGGCTAACTCACCCGAGGTCACTGCCAGTGATGGGGGGAGGGACCGGAACACACGGAAGAGGCAGTTATGGCCAGGGAACCCCTGATCTGAAAAGAGAGTCCCTGCTCTACCCAGATGCTGTTTGGAGACCTGTCCATACAGCCTGAGCCTGGCCATCCCTTTAGCAAAGTTTAACCCACAGGAGGCTCCCCTGCGCTAGCCACAGGGTGCACTCCTGGGGATCAGTGCCACCCATTCTGGCCCCCAGGGGGGATGACAGCGGGCCCGGGGCAGGGCTTCTGGCGAGAGGGATTTGGGGGCTCAGGATCTAGGGGTGGCAGGGTGTGCCCTCTGGAACCACCTGAGGGCCTCACCCCACCACACCCCCAGGGAACAGAGGGAAGGATCCCTCCAGGTGGGCAATGAGGCCCCTGTGACTGGCTCTTCCCCGCTGGGTGCCACACAGCTAGACACAGACGGAGCCCTATGGCTGGGTGAGTGTTTTGGGGGAGGCCAGGGAAGGGGTACCCAGGGGTCTCAGAATCTGAGGGAGGACCTCATCCCTTGGGGCTGGCAACTCAGTGCCATCTGAGTCACCCATCCAGGACAGCCGACCCACTGGCTGGGATAGTCCTGTCCCCTCTTGTCTTAGGCCCTGGGCGGTTATGGGGCCAGGAGAAATGCTCCAGCCTCCTGGCCACGTGGCCCCCCAGGGCAGTGACAGGCCTCAGGTAGCTCACCTGTCCTTTTCAGTACCCGTGGGTCTGTCTGCTGGCTAGCGTCCCAGATTGCCCATCCCCGTGTCACAGTCGGGTGGCCTTCCTTCTGTCTTCTTGCAGGTGGCCTGGAGAAGCCGCCCATGGGCCAGGCCCTGCCCAAAGCCTACAGCACAGGCTTTGTGGGCTGCCTCCGGGATGTAGTGGTGGGCCAGCGCCCACTGCACCTGCTGGAAGATGCTGTCACCAAGCCGGGGCTTCGGGCCTGCGCCGCCCCGTGAAACATACGCCACAGCCCACCAGCCACCCTGCTGTCATTATTTTCTATTTTTGTAAACTCATTGCTTTTTTGATATGGTTTTCTTGCCTGTATGTTGGCCAGAGGGACTGCTGGACCGGCCTCCCTACCATCCAGACAGACAAGCTACAGAGGCAAACTCTGTGTCAAGGGACTTGCAGGGGGAGGTGGTGCAGGCAGCCGGAGGGCTTGACTCCAGCGCTAGTCTCAGGACGTTCCTCTCCACCTCAGGCCACTGTGTCCCGGCCCCTCGTGCTGTGCCTCCCCTGTGTGTCCACCGGGCCTGTGTCCCCAGAGCAGGAAGGCGCTGCTGGGGCTTGAGGGGGCCTTTCCTCCTCGCAAGCCCTCAGGGGCCTCCTCGGTTCCCACTTGAGCTGCTCCTGCCCTTGGCGTGTGCGGTAGGCCGGGGCTAGCCTCGAGCGCAGACTGGCCCCTCCCAGGCCTCCTGTGCCAATACTGTGACTTAGAAGCAATGTTACTGTTGGGGCTATATATCGTACCCTTCCTTCCCGCTATGTCCACCAGTCCCAGAGTGCTGGAGAGCAGAGGCCAAGCCCAGGCCTGGTCAGGGCACCTTGGCCCTTAGTTGGCCTGCCTGTCTGTCCAGCCACCCTGGACATAGCTGTGTCCCCTCCCTGATACCCCAGGTCCCATGAGGAGTCCCGAGAGGGAGCAGGACCGCTGTGTGATGCGGTTGATGTCCGCTGCCTGCTTGTTTGGGCAGCCGGCATCCCCCTCTCAAGGATGGATGTTCGGGCCTGACCACCCACCTTTATGCATTGATTTTATTTGACACGTGGAGTGACAGGGCCGTCGTTCTTCCTGTCCTGGCCCAAGGGCGGCTGAGGACTCCACACGGCAAACTCCCTCTCAGGTCCTGGTGTGAGGGTAGTTGTCATTGTCCAAGAATGACCAGGGGTCAGCCGAGTGTCTGACCGAGGCCAAGGGGTGGGTGTAGAGGCAGCAGAAAAAACCACAACGTTACGCCGCGTCCTACCTGTCCCCCCCACCCTCCCCTCCGTGGGGGTAGCAGCCCCAACACCCC